TATTTTAAATAATCTGCTATTCGTTAACAATTTGTGAGTCATAAACTCATGAGATTAATCGATTGATGTACTCGATATTTTTTGGAAAAAAATTTCTTTCCACAATATTTAAAATAGGTTGATTAAAACCAAAATTAAATGTCGTTGAAGAGGAATTAAGTTACACCTTATTAATTTAATTTTAATAACGACAATGAATTATTTTGTGAAAATTATCAAAAAAATATAAAACACAAATGATTTATTTTTATATAATTCTCTAGTCACTATATACTTATGATAAACTCATAGGTTAGGTAAGTTAAAAAAAATCAATATAATATTATCTGAGTAAAATTATTCCATATTACAGTGAAGTTAGTTTATATTATACCTTCCATATTATCAGGGGCGTATTTAGGTAGAAGATACGTATTGACGGATAGGCCATTTTTATTCTAATGGGAATTTCTAAAAAGGATCCCTACGTGAAAAAAAAAAAAAAAGGTGCTCACTTAGTTTGTAAATACAATAATATGTGCATTCTGTGCTCGAATAGGGGGGGGGGCAGGAGGACGGAGTATTTTTTTTATCTTTTTTTGCAGACTCCAACTATATTTTTTCACTGGACGCCACTTACCCTAACTAAAGTCCACAATAATTTTTATTAAAATGTGGATTTCAATTTACCTTAATCTTATAACGAATATTAAGATTTATAATAGTCTTTTTTTTTAATATGGTGATCCCAGGTAAGTCTTTTGTCTAGATGTATACCTATGTAGCGAGCGTTTGAGGTAATGGGAATGATGACGTTGTTTAATGTTACAGGAGGAGAAGTGCCTTTACAAAAGAGTGAATGTTACGTGCAATGATTTAGAAGTACCTATTGATTTTGACTCTCCATTTGATATACCTGATATACTAGGTCATTATGGGTGGTAAAAAAAGCTTATTAGGTTATTAATATAGCGTATTCTGCTACTGAAGAATTTTGAGTGGTTGGTTGGTCGGCAAAGAAAATTTTGAACAAAACTGAAGATAGTATTACTCCCTAAGGGACTTCGGCGAGAATTGGAGATAGCTCTGAAATTTCGGTACCCACTCGCATGGCGAAGTGGCGGTTTTCGAAGTATGATTTAAGGAATAGAAAGTAAGAGGAAGGTAATATATTTTTTAATTTTAACAGAAGGCCACAATGCCATACGCGGTCAAACGCATGAGTGACATCTAAAAATACTGTGGAGCAACATATTTTTTTTCTAGTGTTAAAGAGATGGTATCAAACGATTGATTTGGTGGATAGTTGGATAGGAGTTACAGAAACCAAATTGGGTATAGGGCAGTATTTGCTTTTTATTAATTATGGGCATAATGGATTTAAGAATACGTTTTTCGCAGAGTTTTGAAAAAAACGGTAAAAGGCTGATGAGCGGTATGAAGAGCATTGGCGCACATACGGGGGTGCCAGGGAGTGCTTAGCACCCCCGAGTTCTAAACTAGTACCTTCAGTTTATCTTGAGGTAAAATTATTGTTTAAAGAGGATTATTTTGCATTTATAAGAATGAATAAACTCCAGTTTGCATTGATAATGCACTAATGCCCACGAACGTACTCATACTATGTGAATACATATGATATTAGGTATTTGTGTTTATGTTACCTATACATGTGATACTGTTATTATGTTCAAGTTTATTGCTAGAATACCATTTAGGATTTTGGTTTTGTTTACAGTCTACAGGTTTGATTGCTTATTGATAAAAAATAGTGATGTTAATTAATAATATTTTTAGTTATAATATAGAAAATTGCTACAATTATAATTAAATAGTAAAACTAAAACATTTTATGCTAAGTTATTGTAGGGCAGTGGTTTCCAAGGGGGAGAAGGTAATTTTTGGTTGACTCGGAAGAAAATAAGGTGATGATAAAATTACAAAAATAATTATGATATATTTAATTTTTTTAAAATTTACCATGGGGCATAAGATGAAAAAGGTTGAAAACCACTGTTGTAAGGGGTTTGTGGTTTGGGCTTCACCTTGGACGGATAATTTTAGCACTCCCAAGTTTCATACTGAATGTGAGCCTATGATGAAGAAGAATTTTCAGTTGGTTTATCCGGTTTAGGGAATAAGACAATAACGGAGACTTTTCATTGTAAGGGGAAATAAGAGAGTCTGAGTATTGAATTTATTATATATGTGAGAAGTATAATTGCTTTTTTGAGGAATCGACGTGTTATTTTGGCGGTGATTGGATCAAAACCTGGGGATTTTCGAAGTGAATTCGGCCATGATCAAAGAAATATGTGTTATGCGGTGTTCGGTTTGGACGACTTTATTTTATCATGCAAATTTTACTATGCATGCGGCGTATGATTATCGAAAAAATCATTTGTGGTACAATTTTGCTATCCGTTAACTAATATCTTTGCCAAGGTTTTTTATGTTTTTTTTTTTTTTGTTTCACAACTAGTGAATAACTATAAATGCTGCTGCTTTTTTTTTTTCTTAATTCAATATCATTCATAACTGCGGAGCTTTTTAAAAATAAATAATAAAATAAATTAAAAAATAGACTTAACCACGAGTATAAACTATACAGTTAACATTATGTACAGAATGTTACTACAATACAACGTTTTGTAATTTTTTTCGCAGCAACATCTGAGCATCAAAATATAACGCATGACGCATATTATAGTTTCAAAATATTTCTAATTTTCGACGAACAAGTGTGCGCCAAAATTAAAATACAACGCACACACAAATTTGCTCTAATTTGGATGTAAATTGGATTGTTTTTATACTCGAGTGATAGAACACAAGACCATAGGAGGGCATGTGTTAGGATTCTCATTTCTTTTAATATAAACTATTCACCGCCATCGATATCTCGTTCTCGACGTCCCTGACCCCACGCACTTACTCGACTTTCTTGCAACCTTGTCCGCAGAAATATCTTTGACGATACGTGCGTACCTAGTATACATATACAGTGTATCCCATAAATACCGTTTTAATTTATTTGTATAAAAAATGATTGTTTAAATTCGGTTTTTCGACGCTGATGAAAAAATTCTAATTGAACAGAAAAATCCGTAAACAAAAATACTAATTTGCTACCGAGCAATTGAGAGTACAGCGGGTTTCATAGGGGACATACTCTACAATACTGTGTAATATGTAAATACACAAGGATAAGTGTGTTTAGAGTTATGTAATAACCGGTATTTATACGCATAGTACACTTGATGGTAGTTATAGCGGTTGCATTGGAGTGTGAATGGCTGATAGCAATCACGTACGCGTGCACATACACCGTATATTCTGATACGTAGGTTGTAAGATTATGCATTTGCACTTACTGTATTACTTCTATAATTTATACAGTTGTAAAATAAAATAACTACCGTCGCACTCATCCCTATACAATTTTTTAAGTAATTTTCACTGGACGACAAACTATTTTTTATCAAAATAATCAATGGTATCAAATAGTACAATATAGTAGTATAATAATAATATGATCGTTGTATTTCTCGTTCGCTTCGCATAATTGTCAAAAATAAATTTTAATGCTGGTAGAAAAAGTGAACATCGATAATATGACAGTACATTATATATATTATTATTATGTATCAATCGTACATTACATAATCATTTTTTTTAAATACCTAATTTAAAAAAATCTTTTTTTGATGATTAATTGTGTTCACTCAATCTTTCAAAGTACCTGCTACCTAACCTGCTATCAACTAGGGGACAAAATATTTTCGTTGGGTGACATTTGTGTTACTTAGTTAATTAGTTAAAAAAAATGCACAGACTCATTCGGTATAATGTTACTCATTTGCTCATCCATTTGCAATGCTTGTACATGCAAACACATGGTATAATTGTTTTACTGTTATTTTTACGAGAGTTAGTTACCAACAGCTGCGTAACACCATCGTAAATTGTAGCATGATATACTTAATTAATAATTGTAAATAAATGTATTTGTAATTTTATTATATATAAAGACAGGCCCGTTTCTAGGAGTGGGGGCAACGGGACCATTTTTCCCCAGGTCCCGGCCTAGGAAAATTTAAAGGGGGCCCCTTTAAAACATGGATTGATTAGAAATACTCATCCGTTACCCATAAAATATTATTGTTGCATTGTTAAGAAGTTATTAACAATTTAATTCATTATATTGATACATTTAAACAACCTTGATTGGTTGAGGTTTGGAAAACTGTATTTACCAACATTTCGCAAATTTGGTGAGTGTTTTTTTTTATCTTACTCGTATATTATTGTGATGATTGAGAAGCCCCCACGAATTATTTTGTCCCGGGCTCCAAGAATCCTTAGGACAACTATGCCTATAGGTACAATTACTATAATCAGTGCCGTATTTAGATATTTTGCGCCCCGGCGCAATAAAAAAAAAAATTGGCGCCCCTCTAAGGGGCCTACCCACGGAAAATATACGAGGAGATAGATCCTCATGAACCTTTTAGATATTCTAAAATCAATGCTATTTTTATGTAGTAGGCACGCCACCGTACGCCGCACGCGATATCATAATACGCCGTATTATTATAAATAACCTATGTTTATTGACATTATCACAACAAATTTGGGAACTAATATTAGGTAGGTATATTAATAATATTCTGGATCGCTAATAGCTATATTGCTACAAATACATTAACATTAATTTATGATATTGTTATTAAAAACAAAAAAAATTAATAATTTCAAAATAATTTTAAAAATTCAATAATTCAAAAGTGAGCAAATTTCCGACCACAATATTTTGGCACCCCCAAAAAACTGGCACCCGGGGCAGTTGTAGCCAGTGCCCCCCCTAAATGCGGCTCTGACTATAATTGCATCATAACTCGTAGTCGTGGTTCCGTGTGATAAGCCGCTAAGTGGTTGTCGGTGGTGGCAGTCACTGGTCGTATTGTTTTGAATTGATCGCGGTGATAAGAATAATAATGATAATAATAATAATAATAGTAATGATAATAATAATAACATAACTAAATAATTCAACTAATATATCGAATTTTCGTCGTAGTTGTAACTGGCGTCGTTTTACATCTCTTTAAATTATTAATGCGTCACACTCGAGCCAACAGAGAACCGATAAGTCGTGATTACTTCACCATCGCAACAGTCGTTGTCGATGACTCGTTCGCGTCGGTTCCTCCGTAAATCATTTTTATGTTTCGTTGTCACGACGGCGGCGGCGGTGGCGGCGTTGAAACCTTGAAACTCCAGCAGTTACCAGCAGCGGTCGCTTGTTATCGAACTTCGTTGTGTTCATTGCGATTCCGGGTGAGCGTCGGGGTCATAGCAACAGCAGTCGTAATTATGTACACGAATTTTCAATTTTTTCTTCTCCCCATCCTGATGATTTATGTTGTCCCAAGTCGTTAGTGACTGATTTGGCGTGTTTTCTTTTATTCCGATGACGTTTCTCTAAAGCTCGTCGATTTTTATTGATATAATTTTTAACGTTCACCGTCCTCGAATTCTAGAAATACCTACCTTCTTTTGACAACAGTCGTCACATTTAAACATATTTTCACTTTTGAGTATGAACAATTTATTTAGTTTTTTTTTAACGTAAAACATTTTCTGCAACTGCTGTTGCTACTGAAAACTATTAAGGAATAATAAATATTTTAATTGCACATGTATACCACCCTTTTGTTTAATTTTTATAATGCTATGTTTGTACCAGGATGTTTACCGGATAACATTACTGCCCAATAATCAACAACGTTTAAATCTTCACTAATTACTTTTTGGGACTTTTTGAATTAATGTGGAACCAAAAGTTTGCTGAATAAACAAACAACTTTCTGATCATGATTCGTACTAAAGTAAATACGCATCTTTACCTAATTAAACAATGATGATATAATTATAATATGATTGTCATTTTAGAATGAACCATTTTCAAAATTACGCTTACGACCAAAGACATCAAATCAATATATTTTACCTAAACATTTAAAAGACCCTACATTATCATGTACGGACCATTCTAAAGGAATACGGTCATTGCCTGCAGCTCCATACCATTTTCTAATATGTATCCTATTTTTAGTTGTTATATATACTTTATTAGCCATTGTAGAAAAAAAATTACCAGAATCTGTTACAATATCTAATGAACATAAGTATCCAAATCGATTTGTTGCTGAAAGAGCCAGAAATCATTTAGTTAACTTGACTTCAATCGGACCTAGACCTGTAGGTAGCAAAGAAAATGAATTGCATGCAGTGAAGTTAATAGTTGATGAAGTTAAAATAATAACTAAAAATGCTCAATCTTCGCATTTCATTGAATGGGATCTTCAAAGAGTCAGTGGATCATTTTCATTGCAATTTCTTGATGGTATGACAAATGTATATAGAAATGTGCAAAACGTTATTGTTAAAATTGGTCCAGTTAAAACTTCTCGCCATAGTTTGTTGATCAACTGCCATTTTGACTCTGTCGTAGATAGCCCTGGTAATTTTAAAATCTTTTTCAATAATTATCAGTACAGTATATATAAAAATATGTTCAATAATTTAGGGGCAAGTGATGATGGTGCTAGTTGTGCTATAATGTTGGAATTATTTCGTATTATATCACGTTTTCCTAACCCTCTCAAAAATAATATAATATTCCTTTTCAATGGGGCTGAAGAAAACATGATGCAGGCATCACATGGCTTCATAACTCAACACAAATGGGCCTCTAGTATACGTGCATTCATCAATATGGAGGCGTGTGGTGCTGGTGGAAAAGAAATACTGTTTCAAGTTGGTCCAAATCATCCATGGCTGTTGGAAGTAATGACATTTTTGATGTTTAAATTTGTTTGTATTTATAAATGTTTGTATATATATTTTAGGCCTATTCGGATTCTGTGCCTTATCCCTTAGCTTCATCAATGGCCCAAGAAATATTTCAAAGTGGCATTATACCAGGCGATACTGATTTTAGAATATTTCGTGATTTTGGACGTATTTCTGGTATGTAAATTTGTGTTATTTTTCTTTTATTAATATTTATTACTTATAGTTTTTTTTATTTAGGTCTTGATTTTGCATGGTCAGCAAATGGATATGTTTACCACACTAAGTTAGACACGGTTGATAAAATTCCTTTAGGCACTTTTCAAAGAACTGGCGATAATATGTTACCATTAATATTAAAATTAGTTAATTCTGAACAAATTTCTGATGTTGAAAATTATAGTACTGGAAATTTAGTAAGTGTTATATTTTTAATAAGATAATTGTTATTGTTAATTACTTTTTATTAACTTACAGGTGTTTTTTGATTTCTTGGGTATATTTATTGTTTATTGGAGTGAAGTACTAGCTGATATAATTAATATTAGTGTCATTATCATTTCTCTGTTAATTATTTTGTACAATGCTTCTAATAATCATGTTACTGGTAAATTGATTACTTTATAAAGAAAACTGTGTAGACCTTTTTTTTATTTAATATATACTTAATTTTTAGGTTTTAATGTGAAAGATTATTTTAAATCTTGTTTTAAATGCTCAATCTTAATTGTATTGATATGGTTAGCTACTCTACTAACAATAGCCATATTGTCATTGACTGTAACACACTTAGATCGATGTCTCAGTTGGTTTGCCCAACCATCGTGGCTATTTTTTTTGTATATTATACCAACCATATTAGTACCAATGGTTTTACTAGCTTTATTTGGACGTAAATTCCTATGGGTAAATTGTGTATTGAATTTAAAATGTTTTATTTGAAACTTATTAATTGATCATATATTATTTTTTTACAGGGTCAAAAAGGAAAACATTACCCACAGTCTTTACTATATTGTATTTCACGTGATGGCAATCAAATGCTATATATAATAATTCTTTTAGTATGTGTACTGCTGCGTATAAGGTCTGGATTTGCAGTTGCACTTTTTGTTTCCTGTAATGCAATCAGTACTGCATTACAAAATACCATACTAAAATATACTTATGGTACTGTTGATTTGATTGATATTATTTTTGCATTATTGAAATTGTTTGATGTTCCAACCAGGCCATAAGGTATTGTGGTTACATTGGGGTTGTATGCTGATTCCATTCATGTTATCTGCTTACATGATACAAGCAGCTCTTCTACTGGTTGTCCCAATTATGGGTCGATCGGGATCGGGAAACCATGCTGAATCTGTTATGTCACTAATAACATCAGCTATGTTCACTCTTGTGTTTAGTTTTTATGTAAATAATGTTGAGGCTAGAAAATTTAATACATAATTAAACATTTTTTTATTTCCCCAGAATCCTTTAGTTTTACTTCTTCGAAAAGTGTATACCCTATTTTGTTCACTAGCAGTTGTGTTGTTGATTTCATTTCTAGTCCTAGTATTCACACCATTTGGATTTCCATACTCTGGTGATCCTAATAATTTGGCTCCCCAAAGATTTATGATTGCAGTAAGTCTTATTTGATATCACTGTTTTTTTTTTTTTTTTTTATTTGGCTTATTCAATTTAATTTTTCTTTTTGTTCTTAGCATGTAGAACGGAGTTTTTATAATTATAATGGTTCATTGAGAGACTCTCAGAATGGACTGTGGATTGTTGATCTGGATGTTAACAGTCCACATTCAATTAAATCGTTTGCACCTGAATTAGCGAAAGCACGCCAAATCAGTAAGGAAGAGTGTAGCAAAGAATTGTATTGTGGACTTCCATATTTTATTCCAGTCATAACATTCATATGGTGAGTCTGTTATTACTCAATCAAGAACTATTATGTGAACATGATTTTATTACTTTTATACAATTTACAGGAAAACACATTGGCTCGATACTAAGCCAATGGATATTAAAATACCCTTGGAACTAAATCTCTTGTATAGAGATAAAAGATTAAATAACATACAAAGGCTTTCTTTCTCTGCAACTGGTGTGTATTTATTTAAATTTCAAAGAATATTTAATACAGTTATAAAATGTGTTTCAATTATATAGGGCCTGACCATTTAACTTTTTTGCTATCATTATATGATGGTATTAACTTGAAAGATTGGAGCTTGAGTTTGGATAAACCTCTTGAAGGACCACAGTGGAATGGACGCCCTACATATTTTGTGTATTATTCATGTGCCAATGATATTACTCCATGGGACTTTTGGATTGATCTTGAAGTAAATGTATTATATTTTAACTTTTATATCGTATAAGAATAGTCAAAATAATATTATTTAATACTTTAAATTGACTAATTTTATTTTATAACTAATTGATATAATTTAATTTTATAACCTAATTAAATTTATAATTAATCACTAGTCAAATATTACCAAGATATTCACTTGTAATTTTTCATAAATAATAAGTTATGGTTAACAAAACCATTTTATGTTATTATAATTGATACAAGTCTCAATAAGTATATAAAACTAATCAATAGAAATTTTGTACAGAATTATTGATTTACCATAAACTATTAGTTATATCCTTTAAGACTTACAAGACTTATTTTAGTATTGTTTTTATTCATTATATTTATGTTAAAATAGTATACATTTTTTATTTAAAAAAACAAGAATTCTTTATAGATATAATTTTGAAAATAAAATTGTTTTAAAAAATTGTCATAATTTAAATATAATTATGTGAATTATATATTACTTAAAGATTAAACCAAAAATTTATTAGTTATATTAGGGTAAATAGTGCTAGCTTTTAACCAAATATGTATAGAGTGATATAAGAATGAGATTTAATTAATCTTTGTCTTACTAGAAAATTTACCATTTTAATTTGCATGGGAAAGCATTGTTATTTTATTTGATTTGATGTATTATAGAACTGGAAAAATTATATTTTTTATAAATAGTTATAATATTATATAATATATGGTCTATTATACTTAATTATAAAAATTGGAATTAGAACAAACTGAACATACTCAAGTTTAATAATTTAATTTTATATTATTTTATGTTAATATCATTGATTATAGAATATTCTATACAATTTTTTCAATCCATTATAAAATAAATGTTAATTTCAATGTTAGTATTAAGTTCCTAATTTAAATTAATAGATAATACAATTAGTTTTAATTATAACTAGGGCTCGAAAGTTGGTGCATTTTAAATTTTTTTTAAAAGTTTTTAGACATTGCTCTCTTGGCCACAATTCTGTTTCATTAGCATGTGAATCCGAATAACTAATTTTTATTTTGCATTTTTTTGTGTTAATTACTTTTTAAGTCATTTTTTGACATTTTTAGTAATTTTTACTGATTTCACTTTTTATTGCTTCTTGTTGACCATTATGCCAACAACTTAAGACTTGTCTGATTTTATCTAGCCAATTTCATTTATTGTGTCAAATTCTAGTGAGTATTATTTTACCTACATTTTATTATTTTTTCTAAATATTTAATTTTATCTCGTCACTTTGTTACCATGTTATAGTCAATAATACCTATTTAATCTAAAATTTATAATTTTTTTCGTAATATTTTCGAAATTACAAAAATTAAAAGGTCTGTTAGTGCTCATCTGTGCCTCCCAATCACTTCAGTGAACGTGGAGAGAAGTTTTTCTAAATATAAATATTTATAAACAGATAATCATCGTTTGTTTACTTTTGATAACATCAAATTGTTCTCTAATTGTACAATGCCAATGATTTTGATTTTTGAGTAATTTGTAAGTTTTGATAAATGTATATAGAACGTTACAGTAAAATAGAGTAAAATATTTAAAAAAGTATATTTTTATTAATTTAAAACAATTATTTGTAATTTTTTTAGGTCATTTTTTAAGGGAATTTTTTTATTTTTATGACATATTTACATATTTTTTAAGTCATTTTTTATTGTTTTTAAGGTCATTAACTTCCTAGCCCTAGTAATAACTAACAAAAAAAATTAATCATTTATGAAAATTCATGTTTAACACACAGATAATAATTATTAAACAATCTAAGATTTTATATTAATAGAGATCAATGTAAAATTGATAAGACCATTACTTAATAGTAATTCATATTTTATCTCATTACTCTTAAAAGTATATGTCTAATCTGATATACTTTTATTTATCTTTAGTATGACCAGGTCAATAATTTTATTCTTGAATTTAAATTACCATTAACAGTAAGAACTTGATAAGTCTACTTTATATTAGCATTACAATTTACAAGAATAATTACTCTTAAAAATTAAAAGTTAAAAGATAATTTGATGTTTTAAAAACCGATAAAAATTCAGAAAATTATTTATGGATACATTTTTATCATTTTATGTGAGATTTTCTACATTCAAGAGGGATAAATTAAAAATATTATTAGTGTAATAGTTCTTATTAATTTTTATTCATAGGTTCCAACAAACCATGTAGGTCCTCAAATAGAAGTAGGATTGGCTGGACATCGAATGCATGGTCCACATCAGTACACAACAACATTGAAGAAAATCTTTAATTCCTTTCCACAATGGACAACTACGACTGGATGGTCTTCAGCTTATAAATCATTTACTTTATAAACACATTTACTATTATTTAATTATAGTCTTTTGTATATAAATATTTATATGACTTTGTTATGAATTATTTTTGTTATTTATTACATTATTATATTTGACTGGTTTTTATGATATTTAATTATAATAAAAAAAAAAAAAAAAAATACTTTTAGTAATATTTATATAATATATATATATATTTTTTTTCTTTAAATATTAGATTTTATTATTTATAATACATATAAATATATATTTAATAATGCTCTAAATTATCAAAAAATGTTCTTATTTATAACTTTTAAATAAACCATATGTGTTTGATATTTGTATACTTAGTTGAATATATTGTTTTCTTTTGTAGACACCACAGTGGCTTCAACAAGAAGATTGTAATCAATGTCTGCCAACATGGCTGAAAAATATACATACACATACAATAAGTAAATACATAAAATATAATGTGTAGCAGTGGAGTCCGGAATATTTGTTGAACTTGCAACAAACTTAAATAAATTTAATTTGTCTTTCAGAATTAGATAAATATGTTGTAAATAAAGAATAATTCATAAGTATTATACTAGTCAACATACAATAGTAAAATACATTTATATAAAGAATACATAAATATCGCATCAAATCAATGAAATTTAAATTTGAAAATTTAATGAATGCAACATTTCAAAGTAAAAATGTATCTATATAATGACAATATGCTTTAATAATAAAATTAATTTTATTCGTAGAGAGTAATTTTTACATTTCAATGACAGTTATCAATTTTTGCACTTGGTATGTGGGAAAATAATTGGTAAAAATAGGATCTTCTTTGAGGATATACAAAAATTTGACATAATAGCAGAACGACAAATAATATATATTGGTGGTAAGTAAATCGTGAATAATTAACATATGTATGTATTTTGATATCTATAAATCATAAGATAATATCATCCAAAAAGATATAAAGATCAAAAGCAATCACAGGGAATTATTCTATATTTGTAGTGTACCTATTAAATATATATATTCGTAAAAAACTGTTAACCATATATATATATACACAGTAGAGTCGCGATAACTCGAAAAACTTGACAACTCGAACTGTGTTTTATTCCCCTATAAATTAGTTAGATATCTCGAAGTGAATTTTTATCCCCCTTCAACTTCGAGTTATCGAGACTCGACTGTACTATATTAAATGATGGAATATATAAATGTGTAAATAAAAAGGAACAAAAATACAAATATATTTGTTCGTTCTCCACGGGTCCCATCCATCAAAAGAATCACTTATCCTACATTAAATAGTTATTTATTATACACTTGCCTTTGGCTGTAAGGAGCTCCAAAAATGTTTCCAGTGGTGACAACCGATGCCGTGATGGAAAAACAGACGTCGCGCCTAAAGTAAAATAATTACGATATCGGTATGAATTTTTAGTGGACGATTATTAAATATTAGATACTTATAAGTTGTAAATAGGAAATACAGACCGGCATTCGATCGATATTTGACGTTACGGCGGTAATTGGAGGTCCTGATAGACATGCCACCTAGAATTTCGGCAGCATGTTCTCTAGCTCTCAACATGACGGACACGGGATGAGACCATTGGTTCATCAATCGCTTGGCTCTCGAATGCGGTAAATTCTGTATGAGGTCTAATTTTTTCATAACTCCTTCTTTATTTTCAACAATATCTGTTTAGAGAACGATAGGTTAGTAAAGGTAAATTAATAAAAGAGTAATAATTAAGTATTAGCTACTAAATATTTATTAATTTATTAAAAGTATTCAATTTCCAGGAGTAATAATGTACCTCTAGATACTTACGACCAGTATAAATGTAAAATAATATGTTATTATTTTAAGATTTAACCACAAAATAATTTTTTTTTGTTTTTCAGTTTTTTTTTTTTTTTTTAGTAAAAAAACACTAATATTGAGTATATGAATAATAATTGTCTTACTGGAGCCTGTTATTCTAAAAGGGACGAGGCGCGTTACAATAACGCAAATTGGTATAGGTTCTTAAGTATATAATAATGAATATACATACAGGTACTATAATTATATAATCTGTTATAAACTGTTATAAAGACAGTAGGTACAAACAAGTAAGTTTGATTCGTGAGAAAATAAATCGCCGAACTCTTAAAAAAATATTCAGACTCTAGAGCAGTGGTTCCCAATTGGTGGTCCGCGGAGGTGGTTGTGTAGTACAGTAATGATATTTTAATTTTATTTTAGTGCAATTATTAACTTTGTAATCGTTTGAAATTCCTAGTATTTTTGGACTATTGCAATTCGATTATCGCGAAAAAGATGGATAAGATATCCATTTTCCTGTGATATTGAAAAAATAAAAAAAAATCTCTCTTAACAAGAACAAGATAAATTAATTGATTTAGTGAATAATGGAACGATGAAAAATATTTTCAACGATAAAAAACTAATTGATTATTAATTAATTGTTCAAAATGATCAAAAACAGTTGGCCGAGAAAGCTTTAAGACATTTGATCCCCTTTAGCACAATATATATGAGAAAAAGCTTTTTCTGCTTACTGTTACTGATACTGATTTAAAAGTGAAAATATCAAGACTGCAGCCGAATTTGGATGAAATTAAGAAAAAGAAAGGTTTTATTTATCTCTTAAAGTTCGAAAATCAATGCAATAACTAATTTAAGTAACTCATAAATAAATTGTAAAAGGTAATTGCAATAATGATGTATCTAAAATCAAGTGTTAAATCAAATAAATATTTAATATATAAATATTTTTTTTTTTTTGGAAATTTGTGTATAATATTACGAAAAGGTTTGTCAAATTAAAATAAATACATACATTTTTTTTCATTTTTATAATTAAACAAAATTGAAAAGTAACAAAAAAAGGGTCCCGGGAACAATTTAAGTTATAGCAGGAGTCCGTGACTTCACACTAATTGGAAACCACTGCTCTTGAGCATCCATAATGGACACGTAACTTATTTTAAACACAATTATTCTAGGGTTTAGGATAAACTATTAAATTCAATTAATCACTAACAAAATAATAAGAGAATATTAGGATTAAAATTATAATTGAATTTTGTCGATCAAATGGATTCATTTAACTCTTGTGGAACAGAGTACAAAGAAAAAAAATGTAATAAGATTTACATTTACAGGCGTATGACTAATATTTTAAGGGGTGCCTACAATACTTTTGGGCTCTATCTTAACAACAAATGTAGGTATATTTAATAAATTCTAATGTTTAAATAATTAAATAAATATAATTTTAATTTTTTTTCCCATGAGTCTCATATATTTTCTTAAATTGTTTATAATTTGTACTTTTGCAGTCAATTGTAGCTGTTATATTATCATAATAATTTTTATCAAATATTTTAAAATAAAATACATTTAATTTTAGCAACATCAGTTAAAATACAGGCCCCTTACTCTTAGACTTAAATTGTAAGGTCCCATTTACAAATTTTTGTGGGTGCGGGCATCCATCCCCCAGTGTTCACGCTTATGTCTACACTGAGGTAATTTTATCTTGAGCCATTATTCTCGTGTATACAACTGGGGATGTAGCAATAGACAGATAGCGCATTATTAATAATCACTAACCAGCCAGAATTTTCTTCATAACGTCCACATTGAGCGAGAATGTATTACATCGAACGTATTGATTGAACATGGTGGCTGACATGACTGTGTATCCGAGATACGTGATGAATGATTGAAAACCTTGTGGCAGAGGGAATGCCAATGCATCAGCGGCTTGTGCGAGTCTCTGCAACACGGTCAATAGCGATTGACGTTGGTCGTCTTCTATGTTGTCGCTGAAAACCCAATACAATAAAATTATACAACGGCTTATTATAGATTAGATCAAAATATGGTGGTTGAGATATGGATGATTATAAGAGACAGAGTAGATACTCAAGATAAAAAAATAAAATGCAATATTATAAAGAATGTGTTGCAGTCTACGACCAGTGGCACATTTAATATATACGCGCCCCGGGGCAAAATTATTTTTCCGCCCTTCCCCCTTACCAAAAAAAAAAAAAAAATATATATATATAAATAAATTCAAAGTTAAGCAATAAAAAAATTAATTTTATGAAACAAATTATAAATCAGTGGTTTTGCGATATTGTATTAGATAATTTTATAGTAATACCATTGATTTTATAATATATATATATTGTATATTATAAAATCATTGGTAATACATATCCTAACGTTAACTTAATTTTTTTTTGTCAGTGAATATTCCTTTCTTAAAAAAAATATATATATATATATATATTAAATATAGAAAACGGAATTTATACTTATTATATGCACAATGATTAACAATACATGGTTTTTTATTAGATTAAATATATTATATTTATTATTAATTATATACAATAAAATAATCGATAGCTTATAATTTTTTTCTTGACTTTTGAGAAGAAAAATGTTCAATAATATCAATAAAATTAATAGTTTTTGTTAAATCAGCTTCAATGTTGAGGGTTGTTAATTAATTAAGACGATTTTCTCCCGTTGTTGATCTTAAATAAGTTTTGACCTTTTTTAATGTAGAAAATGATTTTTCCGTTGAACATTTACTTGAAGGTGTACATACGTAGTAGCATCCTTAGAGCAATATCAATAAAGGATATACTTCAACTAAACTATTCTCTTTTATAAATGCTAACATCAGGGTTTTACACCCGAATCTGTAACACCCCTAAAAACCCTTAAAAAATCAAAAACTCAAAACCCATATAACCCGAATGATTTTTTTTTAAACACCCGAATTAACCAAAACCCGAATAATTTTTTATTTTACAATCTTTATGTGACATTCATTTTGTAAGTATTTTTTGTGGTTATTTTAATTTTGTCATTAGTTGTTTAATAGTAAAATTATTATTCACAGGAATAATTTCACAAATAATATATAAAATAATTAATCTAAATGTATCTAAATAAAGACAATAGCAATATATGATATTGACAGGTGTGCATGAATGGTATGGTATGTTGAATGTTCAAGTGTAAACAACTGGGATACTATTTTTAAAATTATCCCAAGCGGGTATGTCGTATTATTATAATTTAATAGGTAATAGGTCTACGAATCACCGAGTTGTTATTTATTGCAATACTGTAAGTTTGAAATAGAATTGATATTTCGCGTACGATTACCTAAATTATTGTTCGCGTTATTCGTATTTGTTCAATGTATGGCATGTAGTACACATGTCTATGTAGTGAATTGTCAATTTTTGTTGGTGTAATAATTTCATCGTAACATTCGTAAGTATAAATTATTATTATTATTGTATTACGCTATGTCTTAGCTAGCGCGTTTTTAGTGTGTGCACGCACCACAAACCATGAGGTGAAATTTGTGGGAGGCTGAGGATTATTTGCTTGTTACACCTATGAACACCACTGTGCGCAGTTATTTATTTCAACAAGGCAATTTACGAAGTTTGACAATTTGACATTTTTAATCAACAATTTAAACAAAAAAAACAATTAGGTGCCTTATTTTAAACATTTTGTACATTGTAACTTTGTAAATTGCTTGTTGAAATAAATAATTGCGTACAGGGGTACCTATAAGTATTATAAGCAAATAATGCTTAGCCCCCCACTAATTTCACCAAATTTCTGCTTATGCAAAGATTACTTTATATACAATCTATCTAATGTCGATAGTAACCTATGCGTGTAAGACTTGATCCACGGCAAAAGGAAAAAATACAAAACATACTAAATGGAGTTGGAAAGGAAAATCTTAAGACATATATGGACCGATTTACAATCACAAACTAGGAATATATGAAAATAATACAATTAAGAGCTTAGAGCTATATGACGTATATGAATAACCTAACATAACAAAATATATGAGATGTAATTGTCTAGAGTAGCTGGGATATGTGTGGAGAGTCGATGGAGATGTACTAAAGAATTTTCTGACTGGAAAAATAAACGAAAGATACCCACTGGGACAGGGACGGGTTTAAGGGAGTGGCTAAGGGGATATTAGCCACCTCCCACCCCCCTGGGACCAAACTAACTATTTTACAAAGCCAAGTATAATGATATATTGATATATTAATAATTATTATAAAATATCGTCAATCGTCATTGATGAATATGTTACCTATTTTGTACATTTTTTTTATAAATAAATAGCTCATTTTTGTTGTTAATTATATGTTTATATCTATATTTTTAAAATGGTTTTAGATTAAAATTTATATCAATAATGTAACTATTGAAAATTTGTCACTATTGTGAAATAAATTAATTACTTATGAAGGACTCAAAAAAATATTCTGTAATTTAAAATTTTATATAAATTTATAAAACAACTAACTAAATTCTTGAACCTCCATTAGCCCCTCCCTTGGTGACTGATAAAACCCGCCCCTGCACTGGGAAGACCGAGAACAATATGGAAAGATACTGTAGAAAATAATATGAGATTGATTTTGACTTTGGACAGAGAAAAATGGAAAGGATTACTAGTGGCAGCACAGGTCCTGAATAGATCGTTAAACTGTGAATGAAGATGACATAAGTACACTATTTACTAATGTTACGATTGCCACCACTAATTTTAGTATAACTCTACTGTATAACAATTAATAACGTACATTAGTTGGAAACCGGTGCGCTTGTGCAATCGCACATCTACACCAGCGGCCAGGGTCAGATTGGCGCACAGTGATCTTGAGATCTCCAGCTGCGACGACGCGTATTTGGTGGCCACGGCGTGCACGTGCATGGCGTTCGGTTCAGACATGGTTCGACTACGCAGTTTATTGGTACGCATTGAGCTCTGTTTCAGTAGATGCATGCTCAGTTCACGGAGATTCTGTAGAAAAAAGACTTAAAATTTAATCACAAATTTTTGAGTAGTCAAGATTTGCCACGCAAATAATGGTGTCGATCATTGCTATAGACCAGCGTTTCATAAACTGTGTTCCGTGTAACCTTGGAGTTCCGCGAAGCTTAAGAAATTTTTTAAATTTTTTTAATAAAACTACTTTAAAATTTCCAACTAAAGACTAGTAATAGTGAAAAACTGTTTGCATTATAGAAAAAAATATTTGTATATTAAATAACAATGTATAAGCCATATAGAATAGTCTAAATTTATATTTAGTCTAATTAAAGTAATTATTATTAAAGTATTATAATATATATGTATATACAATTATTATTATTTTAATTTTTATTTTAACATATTTTTTTAATTAAATACCTTTAACACAATTATTATATGATTATAATTTATTTAGAAATAATCTAAAAATCTAAAAAGCATAAAAAAAAGTAGGGGTTCCACGATAAATATGGACAACAAAAAAGGTTCTACGGACAAAAAAGTTGAAGAAACGCTGCTATAGACAATGATACTACTCACGACGGATATAACATGCTCTTGTTTACTGGCCGCCGACGTGTCGGTTTCTACGAATGGTAATAGCACCGACGATGACGTCTGTAAAGAATGAGGCAGATCGGATATGGCAATGTTGGCGATGCTGTTAGCGAGCATCGACCCTCCGGGTGAAAGAGGGGTGCAACATCGAGAAAGTACTTCGGGCTGCAATAAAATACTGAATTTTATACAAGATCTTCTGGGATCTTGGAAATTAGGCACACACACACACATATATATATATATACAGGACGTATATCAAGTAAATTTTAAATTTATTACTAGAGTCAAGAGGATCATATGGTTGCCTCAGACGTAAAAATACTAGATTCGTAAAATGCGCAGCTAATAATATTACTGTTTTGACCTAAGCTGAAGGAAATGTAGGTAAGAATCAAATGTTTTTTTAAAAATGTAGTTTGAAATTTTATCATGATATGATTAAAAATTAATAAGTTGGATGCACATTGCACGAAACTATACTTTAGACCAACGGCCGCCAACTGATGGTCCGTGGACCACTGGTGGTCCGGAGAAAAATTTGAACGTTACTTACAGAATCTTTTTGTCGTTATTTCCCAAAAAAAAAGAAAATCCTAGACATGATATTATGTAGATAATAGATCCATCTCAGCAAACGATGACAAATTAAATATGACCGAAAAAAAATGACTTATCGATTTATTTAATGGAATTTATGTAAAAAGCTATTTTAAGCTAAAAGTGGTCCGTAGAATTTAGAGTATATGGTCCGTGAGGTCCAAAAGATTGGCGACCACTGCCTTAGACTACTACTAGTGCCTAATTCTTTAGGCGTAAAGAGATTTGGTAAGGATGTACATGACTGATTATATTTGCATAGGCAGGCAGGCATGTACATAAAAAATATTTTTTTTGGGGGGTCTATAGGTTTTACATTTTCATACTTATATCATTTATATCCCACTTTTATTCTATAAAAACAAACATTTAATAATTTTCCTGAATTTTAGAGGGTTGAACCCCAAAAATCCCCATTGTGTACGTGTCTGAGAGTAAGTACTCTAAATTATCTCGTGAAGTAAATCAGACTATATAATTCAACAATGGCAGTCTAACTTTTATGGTATTTATTTGAGAAAAATGCTATCGATAACTCAACACTAAATTGTATGTGGGAGTTACACTTCAATATATTCCATCAATGCTGCCAAAATCGTTCTATGATTATAATGCATTTACAACAAGTCTAAGTAGTCTTACCTGGTAGCATACTAATGAAACGTTAAGTTTGACCACTACCGTCGAGTTTAAGAAACGTGAAATATCTGGTCTAGAGAAAGCATTATCTTCGGAAACCGATCCACCGGGTAAGAGTTCCCATAACCTTGTCCATAGATCATCGCGAAACGGTATTAGTCTTTGTCGCGGAGACAGTAACATAACTCTAGGGTTTTCTAGTGTTTCTTGAGATAACGTAAGTCCATAGCCATTCACCTGTATCAAAAGTTCATTAAGTTTAAAATGTATTGAACTAAGGAAAAAATAAAAATGGTACGTTTACACTTATAAATTATTTGGTAGTATTTCAAAAACAAACACATCGAATAATAAACGCAACAGTGAATGTTAAAATTAATTTCAGTTAATAAATCAATTTAAACAATATTACCATAGAATTACTTACACAGCGAAAATAATTACCTTAACTTCGAATGGTATATTATGTTTAGATAGTGTAATGGGTAGATATCTCGCGAGGCTAAGAGCATCGGACAACAAACTGCGTTTGACTTGAGCATAAGCGCTCCCCACTAATATTTCTTGCAATAACTTTGAACAGTTTATACTTAAACTATTGTCCACGATCGAATTTAAAAGCTAAACAATTGCAAATAGGTCATTATGCTTAATGCCACGTGTAAGTATAAAAAAGCGTGGAAAAAATTACTTGATTAACAACGTCCATATCTCGCCTGTGTACAATGAAATAGTGCAAAATGGCTTGTTGATTGGCGTGCAGGGCGTCCGGTCTTTTGAACGCCTCGATTAAATGGCGTTTAGTGATTTTTGTTTCATAAACGGCCATTGTAGATAAATCGACCACCGTGCCCGCAGAACCAATTGTTGTGACAATGGTACTCTTCCAACTTCGATTTTCATCTGCACACGGTATGACGATATGGCAATTAGGTTCATGGTCGGGACCTACGTCCAGAAGTAATGTACACATGTTTGGAAAATGTACCAATAAATGTTGATCTATAATAGAAAGAAAAAAACAATATATTACAGAATTACCATATAAAAATAATAATAGATATTCGTTCGTATGTAATCTACAATAAAAATTTTATCTACGCTAATTTTTTAATTGTATACTATGTACAAGGTACTAATTAAAATAATTGAAAATAATAATTAATAAGGTTAAATTACCTTTGTAATAATTTAGAATTGTTGATGGTGAATGTTTTTACTACAAATATTATTAAATACACATTTATTTGTAATATACTACAAATAATATAGTATAAAATCTTTTGAGACAAACTATGAGTATGGGTATTTAATTTAATGAACCTTTAAACTATGTATTATTAATGCTGAATTCAACAACAGTTCTGTTGGAAAATTATCATAATGTTCTCCCAGTTAAAGTTTTTTCTGGGTGGCTTTTTAGTTTTTACTTTTAAATTCCTTAAGTTCTAAGTTCAAGATCAGTATTTAATATATAGCCAAATTAAGAAAATTGCATTTATCTAAGAATTAATTTTCTCAGTTTATTGTAATTTCAGTATAACATTTTTTTTAAATATACACATCAAACCATAGAAATCTTAATGTATAATGGTCTAACTTATTTTTTATCACATTATACATTAACATCAGTAATCAGTAATCATTGTAGAATATAATTATTTTTACACTTAACTAATAAAAAATAGTTTTAATGAATTAAAAACTAATTACATAAACAGCAGAATTTATTAATAAATATTTTATTTTATTTTATTATTAATAAATCATAGATCAACATTTGAATAATATTAAAACTAAAATAACAAAAACACAATAAATGGATAAGCATTCAATTCAATACTTTATATGTCCATGGCAGTCTTAACTAAAACTTAACAAAATAAACAAATTATTTGATAATAAATATATATATATATATATATATTTATTATTAAACAAATCTTTTTCTTTAATCGTGCAAAACACATTGGATGCAGATTTAAACACATTCATGCAAATATTGAACATTTCATTAACAATGAATTGAGAATCTAATTTCTAAGTCAACACATTAATAAATCGGAACTTAGAATGCACTCAAAAAATATTATTCAGAGACTACCTCCTTGCATAGTGAATATTGGACGAGACTCATATGCACGAGTCATAGGTACACCAGCTATATTGCAATGGACTACACTACCATGGTGTAGAAGAGTAACAGAAAATGCCAAATATACTGTTCTTAAATGATCATTGGCTAATGGAGCACTAATTCCCTAAAATTATAATTTTAACCAAAATTGTTACAATCAAACAAACTTTATCCATTTTAAAAGGATTAATGAGTGTTTGAAAAATGCATTATAAAAAATCAGTACATCAAATAATTAAATAATATAAATAAAACAACAGAGTTGTTGAAAATAGAAATATAATATTTTACATACCTGATATAAATAATAATGACAAATTGCAATAAATCCACGTGCATCTGATAATACACGGACATCTAACATACTGTCATGAACACACAATGGCACAGGAATATCAAAATAACCATTTGAGAGATTGTCTGCTGTTCTCTTTCTATTAGGCAGATTTAATGGGACATTGAGCTAAAATATTATTTAACAATTATTTTTCAAATAATTTAAATTAGCTATCAACAATAGAAAATAAATATTAAATAAATACCACTGTTTCATGCTGAGGTTCGTCGTGAAACTGCAAAGCAGAGAGACTAGCTTCATCTGCACTACTGTTGGCCAAATTCGAATAATGAATGTAAAATAAACATTGATGCTGTGGTTCCCATTGGGCCCATGAGAATTGATTTACAACCTTTTCTTGCTTTTTTATATTCAAACGGTCCTAAAAAAAATGTGGTATTAACTGCATATAAATGCATACAATTCAAAAAAAGAAAACAAAAATAATGTTAAGCATACTGTTATGAATAAAATTCACCTTTACATTATCAGCAGTGGTTTCCTCCACTTGATAAAGTGTTATAGCTATACAAATGCAATATTAATTTTCTATCAATTAGTAGGTTGACTTTTTGTGTTTAGTATTTTTAATGTTATAAAATATAACTTTTAATCTTATAAGAAATTAATTTTCAACATCAAATAACTTACATGTTTCATGAATAAATACTAAAAAACGATCATTGTCTGGCTGTTTACGCTTTCTATATAAAAATTGAATCATTGTTTGACGACGGTTAGTGATGTTCAAATCAATAGGATCTGAATTAGGTTTATCTAGGTGAATGATAAAAACACGATAATACTTCATACAATCTTCAAAAGATTCTTTGGTCACGTAGCCTAAAAGCAGATTTATACGTTTGTTATACATTAATTTATTGATATCTAAAAGCACAAAGATATATTACCAAGGACGGAATTTTTGTAATTGATGGAAGCTTGAACAATATTTATCAATTGTTTAAATTTAATTAAAACCTGAAATTTTAAAATAATATAATTTAAAAGTGCACAATATTTTGATATTATATCATATTATATATTATATTATATTATATCATATCATATCACTCATGATTTTTTTTATGTGTACTATTTTTAAATTAAATATTTAATAAAAAATCTAAATATTTGTAGGTTCAATTTTCTTTTAAAAATTACTAATCTTAGAAATAATACTCCAAACACAGATTTCAGAGCATATTTTAACTGGTAATAAATAAATGGTAAAGTAAGGATCAACTGATTAGTTGAGGTTTAGAAAACTATATTTACCAATATTTTGTAAACTTGGTGTGTATTTTTTTTTATCATACTATATTTTATCAAACAATATATTATAAAAGTGAATTTAGCTTAAGGAATAGTTTATATATTCATAACCTACTCACCCCTAAAAATGTCAGAGGCAATAATTTATTAACAATTGACTAATTATGAATAACATAATTAAATGTTATTTAACTCAACCATTTATTCCATTTTTTTCAAGGTATTTAAAACATAGTTTTTAAAATTTTTTAAAAAATATTTCACGCCATCTCAATTAAAAAACAAGAAAATTACCCTAAACTAACCAAAACAGAACATCAGATGAATATTATATATATATAAAATAGGGCAGTGGCATATTTGCTAAATACATTGGGGTATATTACACTGGAATTCCTAAAACATGTTCTTAAAGATTTGAGTATAAAATCTTATTCACTTGTATTTTTTTTATGGTGTAAAAAAACAGTCCAACTGCAGTACAAGATCCCCCTTGGCCTTTCAGGTCCCAGCAAAGGATGAACTCTCCATTTTGTTCTTGTCCCAAGATTTTGCAATTGCTAATATCTACACAAAACATTTTCATCATTAGACATATAAATATATGAGTAGTTTTTTTTTTTTCTTTAATTATATATATTTTACGGGTTAAGTTAGCGAAAATGGGTAGTTAACAAATTACTCGGGTAAACCTTATTCATATGAATAGTATAATGTGTACATTATCCAGTGTGCTATGGATAAGGTATGAAGTAAAAAAAAATATTAAGTAAATTATATATTATTAAGTTATTTTATGTATGAAAATATGTAATTAAATATAGTTATATATTGTAACAGTTCAGATTTGGATAGCATTTTGAGTTGCAAAACATCTCCCGAGATTTACATTTATTTGTTGAACAATTTTTTTTACACAAATATTTTTTGTAGCCGACACTTATAAAATATTTATTAATTGTTAATTACGATTTATTTGTTTTTTATCACGTTTTTTATTTTACATAATATGTCATAATATTTTGATTTCGTTAAATTTACCGAATTCTCATTCTTTTCATTAATTAATTTATTAAAACTATCATAAAATTTCGTTTTTTTTAAATAAAACTAAATTATAAAACATTAATAAACTAAACTAGTGAACTCGAAAACCGATAGCACCGTACTGAAGTTTAAAATGATTATACAATATGAACGCACACGATATATCATAATGTACAATTTATACTCTTATATCATATTTTATTAATATTATCTACAGTTGATACTTTGTCATATTTTATTTTTCGAAAAAACTTTATCCACTCAAAGGTAGATAATGTACAGATTGCCAACAAAATAAACGTTTTACAAATATGTTTACTTTACACAATAGGCACGAGTAGTGTTCCAATTACAAGATTTTCGTACTCAACCCGTAACGTACATAAATCATATTATAGCATATTTTTTACTCCGGAGCATCACCTTTTACTTGTGCTTCCAGTAGATGAGAGAGCACTTCAGGTATGTCCAATACTTTCTGCAGTATCGATGTCGTCATAGCCGCGGCGGATTCCAAGAGTGATAGAATGCCGAAATCGACGCTCACAATTTACGAAAAAGGATTGAAAACCTATCCGAACTGGATATAGCATTAATTTCGCCGTGCCAATAATGACAACGACACGGATAACGTTAACGTGACCGGATAACGTTAACAGGCAACATTTGTAGATTATAATATACAGATTATTGTACAGTTAATAATCTATAAGCCTCGAATAACAGGCACAACGATCACGAAATTGTTCATACGATAACTCGCCACGATTGGCTGAAATCTTATCGGTGAATTATCATCAAGTGTTATCGTAGGCGATAGATTTCCCGCCAAATCGTATTATCACCAACGCGTGTACCTTGGAAAAGATCCATTCGAATGCGATCCGTTCAAGTCTTCCGTTTTCTGTTCTGCGTTCGAACGGTTCGTCCATTTGTTTTATCCGGTGTCAGAACTGTTTCAGCCAAATGTACCGACACGTGAAACCCCATTACTTTTCTATCGATGCAATCATGGCTGCTCAAGAAAAGATTGCGTGCAGGTTCACTAAAAAAATCGAATGCGTCGGTATGTTAACTGTTTTGCTGTTTTTTCGTTGTATACAATTTATGTCGATCGCCTCCGGTCGCTAAATTTCCTTCAACTATAAATTATATAACTACTCCATGGACGTACGCAGACTTGTATTTCAGGGGGTGCCTATTATACTTTTGGGCTCAATCTCAACAAAACGTGTAGGTATATTTAATCAATTACAATGTACAAATAATTAAATAAATAAAATTTTAATTTTTGATTCAATATTATGGAATATATTATTAGTCCCAATGAATATGTTTTTCTTGAATCGTATATTTCTCTTAGATAGCTTCAATTATGATTTATACTTTTTTGTCAATTGTAGCTTTTGTTTTTTTTATTATGATAAATAATTAATTTTTTCCAAATATTTTATAATAAACTGCATTTAATTTGAGCAACATCAGATAAAATATAGGCATCTTAATTCATGATTATGCTGTTTCATTGTTGTACCATTTATTACTATTAACTTTTTAATACATTTTATCATATCTCCATTACACAATTATAAATATAGGTAATTTTTTATTATTTTTGGGATGTTTTAAAAGTCTAATTTTATTATTTTATCGATCCATTTTACTGGGCAAGTATTAAATTTCAGTAAAATCTTGATTACCAGACAATATTATCAAAGCATTAAAAACTGTCTGATAAAAAAGAACAATGGCTAGTAGAAGAATAAAATATACAAATATTCCTTTGATGGAACGTTTCAAAATATTAAATAGATATCTTTTATTGAAAGATAAATAGATATTTTGTTGTATTATCAATTGCATTTTTATACTTATGGTTTTTATTTAATTGCAAATGCTTAAACTATTACTTTGAGAGAGGATCAATTTTATTCATTGCATAAAATATATAATCCATTTAACTTTTTCAAATAAATTTTATACTATAATAAAATTTAAGTTATTAAGTTTGTAATAATCTTATAATTGATAAATATACAATAAAAAAAAATATATATTTATTTAAATTAAATAAATATTATAAATTAAATTTATAATTTATGTTCAAAGTTTAAAATTAAAAGACTTAATTTTAATGATGGGTAATCTACACTTAGTATAGATTACCCATCATTATTTAAAACTATACCATTAGTTTCGAATATGTGGCAAATAATTAATTTTGTATTCTCTTAGGTTTTTTGGATTCACTTATTTCTGAAAAAGAAGATGGCGAATCTGATCCTAAAATAGAACTTCCTTTTTGGATGATCAAAGTTTTTTTAATTGAAAAATCTATTCAGTTTGATATGCCTAAGGCTTATAATGAAATCTATAGGTATGCACAGTTGTAATAGATACAGTACTAAACATTTGTTGTAAGAATAATTTCAATTTTATTTCAGGGGAGTCTTAACGGCTGATGCAAACGTTGTAGACTTATTCAAATTATGTAAACATTTCTATTTGTTTGGAAAATTTTTGTCTCAATTGGAACATCGAGAGGCTTATGAAGTCCGAAGAGTGTTAATCCAAGTAATAAAAATAATTAAAAAAAAACATTACCATTGTTGAATATTTATTTTTTTTTCTTTCTTATTCAGACCTTTGTAGATAGATTTAAACAAACAATGGATTGGGCACAAAATATAGATGATAATCAGCCATGCTTCAATAGACTGGACTGTCTTGAAAGAAAAATATTCAATGACGCCAGAGTTGCTCAACAACAGTTAAATACATATTTAACCGAAGGATCTGGCCAAATGGAAATAGCTGCAATGATATTGAACTATAGAAAACGGAAGATGCATGAAAATTGTGTAAAAGAATAATATATTATGGTAAAGGGAATTATTGTAAAAATAATGTGAATATATTTTAAATATTGATTGTTAATAAATGGTAATGAATGAAATTTTAATTAAATTGTTATATAATAAAATTACCATTTGTTTATATGTTCCAAACATTGTACTTAATAAGAATTACATTTTAAAAACTAATACTAATTTATTTCCGCAATTAATGATATATCACATTTATCTTAATTTATTCTATATATACGAAATTGAATATACTTAGAATATTATAATATCATTTTCAATAACATTATTGAAAGGTATAATGAGTATCAATGGTTGAAATATAAAACATAAATGTTTTATTAAACATGTAAAAATAGTGCGGTCATTTCGACCATAGCGCGACTATCGCCGGGTTAATTTGTATTCAGGATCATTTTTAAGCCAAAGGCACGGGAACCTTTGGTACTCTTCCAAAAATGTTTGAATATCAAATGTACTTTTATTCATTTTGATTTTAATTAATAAAAATAAATATAATTTACACAAATAATAACAATATATATATATATAATAATAATGTGTAATAGTGTGAGTAATAACATAAAAAATTAGGTAGTTCACACCAGAGTTGGACCAAATTTTAGATAAATCTAGATAATTATTTGAATAAAAATTTATTCGACTAATTTTCAAACACAATTATTCAATTAAAAAATTATTCGACTAATTTAGAAACAATATTAATCAAATAATTTGGAAACAATATTATTGGAATAATTTGTGATTATAATATTATTTGAATAATTTTTAAACATAGTTATCCTATCCTAGTATATATAGTAGTAGTTAGTACTAATTACTAAATATGTATTATGAAATAATGATTATAATTCTTCTAGTTTGTCTACATGTATTTAATATGTACCTTGATAGTAATTAATTATCAATATTGAAGATATTATTATTATATCTAGTTTAGTCCAGTTTTTGTACTATATTATATAGTCTCAGATATTTTGGTACTATGTTCTAACTACATATGTTCAATGTTGTATTTCATATTTATAAGTTCAAATATATAGAGCTCTACACAAAAATATAAAGATACTAGATAGATATGGGCAAGTAGCTATAAAAATTAGTCGAATAATAATTTATTCGAATAATTGTGAAAAAAATTATTCAAATAATAATTTATTTGAACAAAATGTTATCTAAATAATCATCTAAATAAAATTTTATTCGAAAAACGCCCAACTCTGGTCACACGATGATAATGACTATCACTCTCGTGATATTTACTATCCACTATCATACACGTAATATGCGAGAGCCGCTTTGGTGATAGTTTGATAGTCACTATCGATCTGTTCACACGATGATAGTTTCTCGATAGTAACTATCACGTTTTACTATCACCGTGTGACCGCGGCTTTAGAACGTTGTTTGTTCTGAATATTATTTTTTCATCCATATTTTACACATGTTCTATGTAGTATTATAGGTAAGAACATCATACTTTTTATAATTTATATTTTATAATCGCAATTATTTTTAATATTCATTAGTCTATGGGTGTTTAATTAATTATTACTCGTCTTTTGTAAGCAGATGTTAAAATAAAAAACTTACAACAAACTTATAATTTTTTCACTCATTTTTATTTATAGTCATGGTACCTAATTTATTTATTTTCGTAAAACAGTTTACGACAGTCCAAATTGTTATAGTTGTTGTATACAGCAACTTAATGAATGCATTAGATTACAATTTGAATGAAGAGTTATAACTTTTCAAAAATTAAAGTGCTAATATTGTACTGGTGTATTATATTATACAGAAATTATTTAGGAACTAACATGCCAAAACTCACTAATAGGTTCTGTTGTTTTCGTCCTGTGTCCGTATCTAGTTCTAGTAAAATACAATTTTAGACTAAATAGTTCAAACTGTAGATTTTAACAAATATTTTCATTACATTGTCAATGTGCAGTTAATAATATTTCTTGGTACTATATGTACAACTCATTTTTAACAACGCACTGATAAATCCTGAAAGACAAACAAATGTGGTGTGTACAGTAATATATTTTGTTTTCATACAACTCATTTGCATTACAAATCTTACAAATGTTGTTATTCTTAATGTGTACAGTGTACAATGTACATACTATTTACAGTTAAATGTTGTCGAGTATACATAATATGATATTAGGTTGAACAAACGTCTATACAATTTATTTTTACCAAATCAATTATCAATCGAATATCGATGATATGATACTGATAATGAAAAAAATTAATAATTTTCTGTGCCGAGTTCGTAGACTAATGATAAACAGTATGATTAATTTTAACATTTAATTTATTGAACATTCGTATATTGTATTTACTAATTACTAATGCTTTAAAACATTTGCTTAAACGAAAACTACTTATGTATAACTTAATAACTAAAATGATGTATTACTATTTTTTTTCAAATAAAAGTGTAAATTTAAACAAATTTCTTATTTATTATTGAAATAAAATAATTATAAAAATATTATTTGCACAAAAAAAAAATAAATAAAAAAAATACGAATTAACTTCTAGTATTATAATGTATGGAATACTTTATTGTGGATAGTTTATTTTTATTGTGTTTAAGTACTCCATAGTTACATGTTATACACAATAAATGCAATAAATTCAATGTAAATCGGTAAAAATTTAATAGAAAACATTTTGTAAAACTAAGGCACTAATTGTTATATCTTTGATACAGAAAAATCATGAATATTTAAGTATTATTTATTAAGGTCATGGAATAACGTTATTTTTTATACAGATTCAGGTTTATACACAGGAGATCCTTGTCTGACCATTGCATAATTATATTTGCTGAGGGAAGAATATACATTTCAACATTATTAGGATATTAATAATTATAATAATAGTAATAAAATTAATAATAATAATAATAAAAGTAATAATAACGATAAAAATAATAATAAAACAATAACAAAAATATTTTTAAAAAAAAGAAGTTTTATCTATTTATGTAGCTTATTAGGTACCTATTAATATGCTGTATAGTTTAATTAATAATTAGAAATAATTTTTGATTTAGTATTATTACTTTATAATATTGGTATCTATTACTTAAAGAGAATATTGAAAATATCGACGATTCACGTACCTAATACTAAGCCTACATAATATATATTTTATTTAATAATAGTCAACACCTGTGATCAATCGTAATAATACAGATGCTCTCGAATTGCCAAACTGTAATAATAAATAAAAATAATAATAAATTATAGTTGTTAGATTATGGCACGTTGATGACATTAATGTCGTTTTTGTTATCTTGATGGGCATTCGCATCGGCGTCGATTGAAGCTCCTACAAAAAGAACATAAAAAATATTAAATTTTATTACTTGGACAGCAAATGTTCAAAAAATAAAACAATTTAATCGCTGGTAAGTAAATTTTATGTATGGTTACTCAAAAAATTTTTTATCCGTACATAAATCTGTATACATATTTTCTGCATAATATAATAGATAACCACAAAGTTAAAAATTAGTCCCGAACACGTAACATTTTCTATTAATGTATTTCATTGCTGACGTTGCGTAGACAAATGTAACTACCAAATATAAATTCACACTTATCAAGTCTCCTGTGTTTGACTGGAATAATCTTCGAAACTACCAATACGATTAACATGCAGTCCTTTGTATTTCAGACATTTTAAAAGGTCATAGGTACATGCTTGATTCTAATAAGGGAACCACCCAGCCAATTGTAATTATAGGTATCACTTTTTTTACGAAATCATTAAACATCATTCTGTCAATATTTTTATAATGTACCTTAAAGTGATTATGGTTTTAAGTTTATGCGTACGTTTAGGTACAGTCATTTTTGAGTATTTTTATTAAATATTTTTTCCCCCAGACCTTTTGTAACTGAAAAATTGGTTGCGGTCCCGAGCAGTTCCGTTATAAGGAGGTTTTACTGTACAAGACAAAATCATGCGTCAATTCGTATGCAATATTATGATGGTATACCTGCGATGATATACGAGTAAGCGGATGTGTCCTTACCTCCGAGTAACATCTCTTGTAACAACGGCTCGATGTGCGCCATTCCGAACAATTTGGCGAATTGGATTTGCTCAATCATTTGCCACGTGATTGACTGGAGTGCAGGCAACGTGAGAAGCAGTTCGGCAAATCGGCCGCACGTTTCGTATTGGCGATCGCTTATGTAGTCTTCGAGATTCCTGTGGATTTGCTTGCGCATGCGTCTTATGCGGTCCGATTCGTTCAGGCCTTTAGCATCTGCGGAATAAAATTTTCGACCGTTACAGTACTACTACACATTTTAGTTATCAGTATATATAGCAGCCACATGATATATAGAAACGTAGAACCAAAGTGATGAGTTTTCGTTCCGATATAAGTACATGGAAATGATACATTATAAACAATTTCTACTGTAATAAATAATGATAATTTATACATTTTAAACATAAAAAAAATGCCAAGGTTTATAGTATAATTAGGTATGTATTTCTTAAAAAAAAAAAAAAAATTAAAATAAATATTTGAACAGGATATAATAATAATTATTATTATACATTTTTTATTTGCACGTAAATGAAAATATTTTAAATAATTTGGCAGCATTTTTAAGAATATTTAGTATTTTAATTTATTATTCTTCAGCTAAGGCTATTTATGATCAGTAAACACCGTAACGTTTAATATCATACGGTATAATAATTATGTATACGTGTTTATAGGTATATATATATATATATATATTATTACTTGGATCGAAAAAAACGATTGCCTTCAAGCATGCGAATTCGGTGTCGTCAATCTGTACTTCGTTCAGCGGTTTGACGAGTTCGTCCAAAACGCGCGAACCCACTCTGCTTATGTCCAAGTCTGATGGGATCCCGTTGTCTGCACATGTGGAAAGATACATTTGTTATTTTTTTTTGTAAATTTGATACATTGTAATAAATGAATGCATAAAATATTTTTTATGGATTATGCTGTTGGATATTATTCGTCAATTATATTATTTATTATTTTCGTAATAAAAAATATACAAAATAAATATAAATTTTGAGCGTTATAATTACAATAATTTTCAATTAACGTACACTGTTTTCACTTAAAAATGTAAAAATAAATTTGGTTGGTTTCAATTTTCCTATTTTATAACATAATGTCACACAATAAAAACTTAATATTTTTATATGAATAATTATTTGCATAAATTATAGTAAGTTACGTCTTATATATGGGTAAGTGTAATACTTATATCTGACATATCTATAATGAAGACTTTTTTTTTAAAGGAAGTATCAGTTTATCTCAAGCAATTTTATTAAAAGGAGGTTTTACTGTATATGCAGTAACCTATGTTAGAATTATATGTATATACACTATGGATAGCCAGTATTTAATCATATCAAATGTTGGGTATTAAGTAATAAATGTCTGTGTCTTACATTATATTTAAAAACATACTTGACGTATCTTAGTATTTGATATTTAATTATTTATCTATACTCTAGTAGGTACATTAATGATTGTATTCGAATACATTTGATCTACATCTTTATAACTAGGGAACGGATTAAAATGCGCAAAAACCCCTTTAAAAAGCTTCTAAAAACAAATGAATATGTTACGAACCCCCTGGTATTGGGGAGAGAACAAGTCTCCCAGGCTTTTCTGTGTCTATTATTTATTTATACATAAAATATTATAATTATTAATTTATATTAAATATATATTTAATTTATTTTATTAGCTATCTCATGGACAGAATTATCACGGGAGAACGAATCCTGGGTTATCATATATAATAATTATAAGCCTATCGATATAGATAGCCGAGAGGCTGAGGCACCAATCATACGTATCCTTCTCCTACATTTTTAATGATGGATACCCTTGATATGCAACAAAATATATATTTAGAATGTAATATAGTTGATTTAGAAAAAAATAATTTATTAGATACTATAATAGAAAAAATGATGAATGAGATTTAATCATTCATAGCTCTCATTGTTATTTGATTTTCTTCATCAATAACAATACCAGTTTTTACTAATATTATTAATAATATTTTAATAATAATATAATATTATACTAATATTTACTAATATTATTTATCTGAGTCAGTTTTCAAAAAACTAATCCAGATTAAATAAAATTAATAAAATATTTTATACGATATCGAATTCATGTTTATCAATTTAATTTGTTGTACTCTAGATGATCAGGACAAAAATATGAGCTATTAATGTAAATATGAACTATAAAATTACAAATATGCAAAATTTAAGAAGTTAAAAATATGCTCAACACGTAAGATGAAATTCATGTTTTTTAAATAAGAATGATTTAAATCATGCATATTTATAATCAGATTTTAAATACCTTATTCTCATAAATGTGAATCCATTACCTAATTATAACTGTGATGAATTTTTACATATAAATCATTTTTACACATAAATCACACAGAAACTGATTGTATAATTTTCATCGATAGAGTTGTAGGTCATATGGGTATTTAATAATAAATTATTATCGTATTTATTATTACATTTTAAATCAAAAAAGTGATTTATATATAAATTAATAAACGAAATCAATCATAAAATATACATTTTAATGTAATGTAAACGCAAATTAAATAAATAATTTATATAAGGTAAAAAATTATTATTAAGAAACATATTTTTTTTATACAATAGTTTTGAAAATTATTAAACAAGTTTCTTACCAATATTTATAAACGTATACACTAAACGGTGTTTCATATCGATCCCAAATTCATTCATAAAGGGTGTTTTTTAAACGAGTACATATAATATCCCGTAGGAAAAACAAATTTTTGGAAAAGTATTTTTTCGAGTACATTAATTAGTAATAATAGATATTAATATGTACGATGATCAGTGCTCGAAATGGAAAATTTTCTGAGCTGGAACTCTTTTTTTTTTTAGTACATACCATAGGATTAGGGGCTATAACCCACCAAAATTATAATTTTTCTTTCCTGAAGTACTACCTTTTTTAATACATAAGTTATACCTACTATTTTATACTTTTTTAGTTAAAATTATATTTTGGCAAATCATTTCTTTTCATCTCTGATGCTATGTGAAGTGCTATATCCACAGACGTTTTATCCGAGTGTAAAATATTTCTCATATTCATACCATTTAAAACTTTTTAATCTATTATCTATTTCATTCGGTAAATCAACAAAAGGCCTTTGAGTTTCACAATTTTATAAATAATTCTAAAAACTTTTTCAGAAGTAGTGAATTTTTATTTCAATACTTTCAATAATTTGATTTCGAAACTTTTTTCTATTTGTTTTTCTTTTGATTGTTTATGTAATTTAAATGCTTTAGGATGAGCGTCAGATTTTTTGTGTTCAAATATTTATTTTCTCAAACTCGACATTTAGGTTTCTTTTGACTTTCCATTCAAAATTATAGAACAAGGTTTGGAAAAACGAAGAGTTAAATTTTCAACAGATAATCCTAAATTTGTTATATTTTTACAAATCAAACAACCTTATGCTTTATTTTTAATTTTTAAAAGTCACATACGTATTGTGTAAATAAATCTAAATTACACTATTAGCGGACGGCGATTATCGTGTAGATAAGCAATAAATGTACTTATGTATCACGGTCGTTTGACGTTTATTAAATATTTTACAACGAATAATAAGTTACGTTAAGTTGTTAGGTACATTATAGATGACATGCACCGCGTTATGGGTTTATTATCATTGAAAATTTGTTTGTATATTTACAATAAAACATTATTATAATATTATGATTTTAAAGATTTAAACACTTACCGGGCACGTGACGGGTTATGACGCGGTTATTACCCAACAGTAGCACGTCCTTAAGCATCAACGATCTCTTGGCCAAACCCAAAAGCAAATGTTCGCCCGCGTGAGCTCGTAACAACGACACCTGTGGATAAAGTTCATCATTAAAAACAAGGTTGGGCATTAACAAGTTAAAAGATAAAATTAAGTTAAAACGTTAAGTTAATTTTAATTAAGTTAATTAACTCGTTACTTTTTTTTACAAATTAACTTTTAACTTAATAAGTTACTTTTTTTTTTTAAAGATTAATGTGTTAACTTAAAGTTAATTTTAGTGCAAAGAATAATGCAAATTAATAAATGAGATTTTTAGTATATTTATAATTTATTATTTTAATATGAATTTCCTGTAGACGAAAATAATATGAAAAATAAATTTAACAGTCACTATATTGGCTATATGTTATCATTATATTTTTATAATATTTTTATTGTATAAACGCTATAAACCCATGGAAATCCTAAGAATATTCTGTGAAAATAGTAAATATCATGAGAGCAAGTGTCGATGGGGGAGGATTAATTATAAAACAACTGTGGTATAATTTCCAATTTAATTTCATTATTAAAGTTGTAAATTGATTTTAGTATGGGTTCAGGACTAAAATTTATTTTAGAAAAGTAGGTTTTTTGATAGCTAGTTTATACTTTTATGTATCATTTTAAATTTCCCTAGTAATTTTCTTGAGCGTAAAAAAAACTAATATTATGTGTGCAATTTTTTATTTTTGCAAATTAGAAAATTTTAACTTTAAACTATGTTAAGTTATTTTTTTTTCAAAGTTATCTTTTAACTTAACGAGTCAACGAAAAAAATATAAGTAACTTTTAATTTAACTTAACTTAATTATTTTAAAATTTAATTTAATTTTAATTTAAAATTAAAAAAATTCGTTAACTTGCCCAGACTTAATTAAAAATATATACGAATTACACGTGTCGGAAGTATCGACTTTACCAACCGGAATCGTGTCGTGTAAACTAACCGTCCCCGATGGGTTGAATCACATGATTTTATTAAGCTAAATCAGGAATGGGAATTAATCACGCGTAATCATATGCAAAATTGATTTCGGTCAACTTTTGAATGTTTGGTTGATGATTGTAATAGGTTCTATATATTTTATATATAGAGAGAACGTAAATAAAGAACACGTATTAATGGTATACTGATGTATTGCGGTGTGACGCGTTTAAAAAAATGGACCAGGCAAGTATACGTTCTTCCAGCGGAGTCGACCGCCGTAGGATACCACTTACCTGGTCGTTGAGCTGGAGTTCCGTGAACGCGGGTATGCGTTTTGCCCAGTCGACCAAGAAAAGCAGTTGAGTTTTCATCGATTCACACACGTCACCGATGTTCGCCACGTGCTTGTTTGCCAAGTTGTTGTCTTCGGCCGCCTGAAATGCACAACAACAATAATATTATATACTTGTACGAGAATTTCAATAATCGGAATCAGATAAAAAAAAAATACTCCGAAAACGACAATAAATTCAACTACTCACGTCAGATTCGTTGCGAGACATGATTTCAGCGTTCAATAAGGACGTGACGGACAGACCGTTGGCACACGGTGGTTCCTCGTAGCTGGGCCGTCTGCAATTGATTCGGTCTCGTTCGTTTTGCACGGCTGAAAGCACACAAAATATGACAGGTTATGGTATACATAAGCATTTTCCAACTTTTTTAACTTTACGACTTCCAAAATAGGTAAAAAATACGTAGAATCAGTCACCTCACGACCCTCTCTCCATTATAATAAAAACTAAACTAAACTTTTATCTATTTGAATATTTATCTAATGGTAAACAAAATTTATGCTTATATCAAAAAAATAGATAACTGGATAATTCGTTTCGAAAAACAAAATTTAGAAACATACGATTTAACTTCATATTATATTGATAAAAAAGTAAACTCGAAAAGTCCTATTCATAATCGTATTTTGGGCATCATGAAAACACATTTGAGAAAATTTAAAATTTAGTTACTGGATTATTTTCTAAAGGACAACGATGGCTTTCCGGTTCGATGGGTTCTAAATCCATTTGAATGAAAACATAATTGCAGTTTCAAAATAACCAATTAAAATTCATAACCAACGTTTCGAATAAAACATTAAAACTACAATTTTCATCTAAAAATATTAATTAATTTTGACTAACTCTACGAAATCAATACAAAGGTTTAATAACAGAGGCATTTAAAACATTGGTTCCGTTATTTACTTTTTATCTATGCAAAAAAAGCTTCTCTTCCATGATGGCAATTACAATTAATTACAATAATCGTTTGTTAAAAAAAAAAAAAGATTGTTTCTATTTAATGAATAAGTTTTATATCATTATTCTACAAATATACTAGCTGAATTATATGGATTCGCTAGTGACATAGCGGAATAAAGCGGACGGAAACCAAATATTTTATAATTTTATCATCCGACTTCTCAAGCGACCGAAGACTCGCAAATATATTGTTACTTGGACGAGGACAACGCACGTGCGACCTGCGTTACAAGGTGCGCGCACTCTTTTTTCATGCTTACGGACGTGTTCCTGATCGTCGACCACTACGACGCGACCTACCACAACGGAGACAAAGATAGTGCGTTTCGCCGACGTGTATACGTAACGAACATAACAGTGATCGCCGCGGACGCGCGTAGCGATACGTTGCTGATAAGATAGTGTAACTCATGTGAGCAGGGGTGGCTCCAGGAAGGGGGCTAAGGGCCGCAGCCCCTCTCTCAAGCCCGTACCTTATTTATAAAAAAATGTATATTGTTAATGAAAAATGCATATTATAATATGGACTATCATACGACATGCACAAGTATGTAGGTAAAGCCATAGAAGTATGACGGTTAAAAGGAGTTTCTTCACTCTTCGGAGACCTGGCTTCGTTCAAGGTTGACTATCAGCATTATGTCTAATTAATGTATATCATAGGATGACCAGACGTCCCGTTTAAAACGGGATTGTCTCTTTTTTGATCATCAATGATTTTGAACAAAATTTTGAACAGTTTTGTGTGTGTATAATATTATTAAAACTTAAAATTTATAAAAAATTCATCATTATAAAAAATTTATCTTATAAAAAAAATATTTAAATATATACAATAAAAAAAAACTCTTTGTCTTTTCGCTTATCTTTTTTTTTAGCCTGAAAAATGTTTTATGTTAATTAATAATTATTAACTGTTTTCACCGAATTCTTGTACATACACACGCAAACGACAACGATCGGACAGCTTAATTTTCGGCATCTTTCACACTTATTCGAATTACGATAGCGAACACGACTAACGACTAACGACTCTATGAGTACCTACTAATAATCGGACACTAATTAGTTTTATATCGCGTATCGTAACGTTATCGAGATTATTTGATGGGAATTACGTATAACCGTATAGATAGATACAATCAGCCGATCTTCGTAAGAATAACTAAAATTGTATAATTCCAAGCAACAAATATATACGAAAAATGACCTAAAAATGGAAAAATGCTCTAAAAATGTCAAAAAATGCTTTAAAAACTGAAAAAGTTTAAAAAATGCAAAAAAAATGCAAAATAAAAGTTTCATTATTAAATTCTCTGATGTATGAATCGAATTATACACTTAGAAAGCATTGCCCTATTCTACCCACTAAAAAATGTATTTTGCATCAAAGTCCGTTCCCTGATCATCATGTTCCGTTGTCACGTTTTAATCCCGTTACTTCCATATTATTTATCTTATAATGTATTAATGCTTGTAAATAAAATATCTATGTGAAAAAAATATAAAGGAGATAGCTGATAGTGTATACCATAATTTTCTTAATTCTTGTTAAAAAAATGTAAGAGTAATTATATGTAACAATACATTGTTTAATACTTTAATCGTAATATTAAAAATTAAATTTTTCTAATTGTTTAAAAATTATAATAGTTTTGAAATGCTACATTATGTTCTTTGATTAATAATAAAGAGAAAATATTTTATTTTTTAGGTTATTTTACTAAAAAAAGGTAGGGTAAAAAGAAAATAATTGTGTATGATATGATAGAGATTTGGACTTTAACTCTCGAGATTTGTGTACATATGCGTGAATGTATATTGATGAGGGTTTTTTTTGAGGGGAGGGGGAAGTAACTGCTGTCCCATTTTTTTATTTTCTTTATATAGTAACCCTAGTATATCATAAAGTAGATATTCTAGATCTAATACATCATATTATTAATATTTTTGCCAATTTTAAAAATAGACGATTTGAATTTGTGTTGTAAAAATTGTTGTTTTCTTTTTGTTATAAGATTTTGTAAAATTATAACTTGCCCCCCTCCCTAACTAAGGCCATGGAGCCGCCCATGCAGCGAGTCAGAATGTTCGGGGGAAAACACAGCAGCGATCAGTGTACCAGTGTTAAGTATAACATATCGTTTCAACGACATGGTTACACAATTACACCATATTCAATCGGAGCGGTATCAACCGGACGTAATGATCTATGACCAACGGTAACGTAAGAAGATATTTACTATACGCACGATACTCGGACGTTCGGTGTACGTATTTCGATTGTAATGTTTAAAATGATGTGAAATGTTTCCAGTACAACTATATTTAGTATAGGCTAGAATTATTACAGTTGCTGGCAGAGCCGTACCGAGCCATTTTTTATCCTGAGGCAAAACTGAAGCAATGCGCAATCGTTGTAAGGTTGTCACACTCACAGCTTTTAATATGTATATTACGAGTCGGAAAAATCTGAAAAATTGTAATTAGGTTTCTAGCAAAATAAGAAAAAACATTCCTAAAAATAAGTTAATTATTTAATATTTTTGCGTTCCCCAGCTTCAGATGCCCAAGGCAAGTGCCTCGCTCGCCTCACCCTAGTTACGGCTCTGGTTGCTGGTGCAGTTTGCGATGCGTTTCCGGTGTTACTACGTGAAAAATCCCGCGAGGTGTCGAAAAAAAAAAATTATTACTACGACATAGAAGACATCCCGTAGCAAAGTGGGCGCACGTCGGGTTCGAGATTTAAACTATTCGACGTGTACATCGAAATAATATTTAATCCATCACTACATCGTGATATCCTAGAAGCATTGAAATTAGAATATTCAACCATCCAGACGTCTTGATGTCGCTCTGGTACACTGTGTGGTGCACAACATTGATCGGTGGTTCTTAAGCCTGTGGTAGTCTATCGTAGTCTCTCTTTGGTCATATACACGCACACAATATTTGCGTCTATGCCATTAAAATATTGTTTGAAAAAATTAATCATTGGGATCATATTTTTTTTCCACCTGTAAACCCGAAAGTCCGGATGGCTTCAAAAATAATTTTCAAAGGGTTCCGCGTGCCACGAATTCTATACAGGACGATAGACAAAAAACGAACGGTTTTTTCATGAACCTTATCTTTTATTTACAAGTATTTCGGATGAATCTTTCATAATCGAATCTATTCATAATTTACAATGCGCAATGTCGTTGAACTTACCTTCTTTTCGCATGCCGGCTTTAAAACATTTTCGCAGACGACAATATCGACATTGATTGCGTTTATCCTTGTTCACTATACAGTTCCGGGAAAACCTGTTCAAACAAATAAACTTTTTATAAACATAAAAAAAAATGTAAGTATGTCGCAGCGTTCAGTATTTGATGCACCGATGCTACACGTGTGGAAGTCGTTCTCAGATGATCAATAAATAAATTATTCCTATGTTTCATACAGACAGAGCCGGCCCAAGCAAAAATAGTGCACTCGGCAAAATTAAATTTTGCCTCCTCTAAGAAAAAAAATTGAGCTCTTATTTTAACTTAGCCCCTTCCCCTATTTTATATGTGACATATCTACTTAAAAAAAAATTTAAATTTTTTATTTTATGGATAGAATTATATGTAGATAGACTTAAAATTGATTTCTATTACTATTACTCAAAACCCATCACTACCGCGACTATCGGATATGTGGTTATTTATATTTTTTGAATAATTGAAAGCGCTTAGCATAGGCCGTTATATAAAGTAATATAATAACTTTAGACAATATTATTTTATTATATAGGTAAGTGGTTTTCACGAATGAATTAATTTAAATATTTTTCTTATAAAACATCAATAGAACTAAAAAAATGTTCGAGTCAATTTTGAAAATGCCGCTCCAGGCAGGTGCCTAGCTCGTCTATACCTTGAGCTGGCCCTGTATACAGATTAAGATTACTAAATATCATAAAAATAATTTATCAATTTCTTATAAGATTATAACTTCTATTTACTGCACTCTTTTAAACGATTTATTTTTTTAATATTTAAAGATCGATTTTTTTTTTAAAACATTTTAATTCGTAATGTTCTTGTAAAATATTATATTTCCAATTTTTTCCTTTTAATAAAAATTGTTGAAATTAATTCCTTTTCACAATATAAGAATTTTGATATTATTTTGAACAAAGGGTAGATCGAAGTCGAAACTCTAAATTTCCCGTCACCTCTCTTTCACAGGTTGGGTTTTCAATTGCACAACTGCAATCATAGTTATGATCCGTAACGTGTTGATAACGAACGATGATATTACGACAAACAATAACACAATTATACATTCATACATTAAATGCGCAAAAAACAACTAATGACTCTACCTGCACGAGTAGAAATGATTCTTCCTAACGGATCTTCTAAAAAATCCTTTACATCCGTCGCAGGACGCTGCCCCATAGTGTTTGCCGGTCGCTCGGTCACCACATATCGAGCATGACTGATTCTGACCAGTCATCGGCGGTGAGTGCACTTGTGGCGTGGAGTCTATGGTCTGCAAATAAGTCGGCTCGTGATGCACCGGCATCCCGTTCAGATTCGAATCTGCTGTAAATAAATCAGTTTCGATTATAGTATTATATCACGTAACAAGTAAAATTGTTTTGTTTTATATAATATCACGGTGCGGATCCAATATTACTTAAAACAATAAATAGTATTATAGAACGTATTATTACAGTATAAATTATACATAATTATTCATTATAATTTTAAAAAAATGCCACAACATTTTTTGTTATGCATACATGAAACGGGGAAAGTTGAAAAAATTATTTGAATAAGAAAAATGTACAATGTGGAACGAGTATGGCGACAGGATAGGGTGTTACTCCAGTTTTATCTATTCGCTGTTTACTTGAAACAGGAGCGTACTCAGGATTTTTTTATGGAGGAGGGTCCAACATTTTTATTTTATCTGATAATGGGTTGGTTAAAATATAAAATAATGCCCTTGACTTGAAATGATTCCCGTATAATGTACTTTAATTGAAAAAGTGTTTTCAAATGTTTAGCGCACAAAAAAATAAGAAAAATCATGAAGAGTTGTCAACAATAATTATAATCGTTTCAATCAAACCATAATAATATTAAAATGTGTTTTATATTTAATGGTTTAATTTTAAACTCTTTTCATAGAACTTGTTTATATAGTAGTATTATGTAATTCATGAATTGTTCAACAATTTTAAACTAGTTGTAATTACAAGAATTTTTTAATTTAAATATTCAAATGACGATTTTGCAATTTTAAGGATTACATATTTCATTTTAATTAATTTGTAATGTTGATAGTCTGAATATTTATTTGATACTTAAATCTATTATTTTTGTAGGTGGTATGGTTGGAACAAATCGACACGGTTAGCATCTCGATCGGTATCTATTTTATTATAACACACACACACACATACATACTCAAATGTATACATAGCGAATTAATCTTTATGAACATTTCGAACAAGAATAATATTAGATGCCATAGACTACACCATTCAAAATGATATATACATATATGCAATTTATAGAAAATTCAGGCAGGTATCTGTAAACAAGTCAAGTCACTCAGCAGAAACCGCCATGTCTCCAAATATTTAACGCATTTTGGATTTGAAAACAAAATTAGGTAAATTATTATTAATATTATTGCACAATATTTTTCTTCGGTCGATCGATCAAAAAAAAATTAGAAACTAAAATTTATATATATATAGTTAAAATAATATTTATATACCATTACAAACAAATTAAAAATATGTTTAATTAGCCTCGTGTTGATAATTTAATATCCTCCTACGCATATTTTGTAACAGGGCTGTACAGATGTTAATTTACACCTAATTTGATAAATTAAAATAAATAATCTAACAACTCCATATTTCAATCAGTGCAATAATAGACCTGAGCGTAAATGTTTAAATTAATTGAATACATATAAATACATCATCGTAATATTTTATTGTACTTTAAACTCAGTTAAATATAATTTGATAGTAGTACAAGTTTTAATTTGTACCCGTCTTAAAAAGTTTGCCTCGATAATAATAAACAATACATTTAAAAGAGAGAGAGAAGGTTTAGTGTGCAGATTTGGTGTAATAGGTAATTTTAGCAACATGCATATTTTTATTATTATAACAAAAACTCTTATAAATTCGAATATTTTCAATCAATATCAAAAACATGGGTCCAAAACATGTATATTGAAATTTTATTGAATTTAGATTTTAACTTTTGGTGTTTGATTAAAAAGAAGACAGAAAAAGATTCAATCTTCTTTTATTAAAATTAATATATTTTCATAGGATATTATGATATAAAATTAAAAGTAGTCAATGATTAATTAATTAATTGGAGCTTAAGTCATTTTTGACTGAAAATATTTATGTTGGTATTAAAAATAAATAAGTACTTAAAAATTCATAAAATATTGAAGAAATTTAGGGGTCCAGACACCCTGGACCCCTACCCCCCCGATGCGGCCTTTTTTCAATCAATTAACCTAGGTCAAAAATGAAGAAATATCAGACAAATTAAATTAAAATAAACTTTATTGCTCTTTTGTTCGTTGGTGTACATGTTTTTGATTCACTTACATACATAGGCACAACTAGGGGGTGGGGTATAGGGGGCTTAGCCTCCGGTCCAAGATTTAGCCACCCTATAAATATTCCATGTTATACATGGGATACAGTATACAGCATACTTATCTCACAATAGTGTCATATACAAAAAAAGACACATTGCAGTCAATCCAACTTGGCTCAGAATCTAAAATATATTAAAATGGTGTATAAGAGTAGGGGTAATCTACAGGTTATTTTAATTTTTGATAGGAGGGCTGTAGCCCCCAGATTTTTTACCCTAGTTACACCTGTGTTTAGGGGTGCGCGATTATTTTTTTTTTAATATTCGATTGTTCTTAAAATACTTTATACGAGTAATAATCGATTAATCGATTATTATTGATTAATATCTTAACTGTTAATCGACCATACGTGAATTGGAGTATGTCTTTTAACATTTTTGACATTGGACACGTACATCACAGTCAGTTTTAATGAAAACTTGCTTCAATTTACTCATGATATAAATTAAATAAGTAAAATATAAATACTATGTATTATATAGTATTATGTTATATAAATACTATATAAACTAAAAAGGTATTGAGTATTGACTTTATTGTAATAATGTAATTGTATTTATCAATATTAAATTAATATAAATTGTATCTAAAGAAGATATAACTAGATCAATAGTTAACGTTTTCAATGTTTCATCATGATAAAAGATATTTTATCGTGTTTCATTAATCTATGATACTACACAGTACACGCAGCAATTGAATTCTTGAACTGTTTATCAATTAATCAAAAAAATAATCAATTAATCGATTATATTTTGCGATAAATCGATCTTGCAATTATTCGATTATTTAAAATTTTTAAAAATAATCAGTTAATCGATTAAATCGGCAAGATCGATCTATCGATTGTTATAATCGTGCACTCCTACCTATGTTTACATGTAGTTGAATTATTTCAATAATACAATATATAATATAATTTCAATAATACAACCTAATGGATTTCCATTACTACAATATATATAGCTTATATATATTATATACTACATCAACCAAATTCCCATGTGTACTCGAATGTTTTTATGTTTATAAGTCATACTGTTAAAATATATCCAATTTAATTAACAATAATAAAGTAACAATTAAATGTAAACAGTATACCATTTATCTTTACATATGAATAACCAAAAATTTAGATGTATTTACACTCGCTTCCTATTATAATCGGATTATGCTTGTATGAAAAGAAAATACACAAGCAAGCGAAAATCAAAATTATATTATATTATTGCATTGGGGAAAGCAATATTTTAAGTTATTTGGTCAACATTTTTTTTTTTTTTTTTGTTAACATATTTAATAAATATAATTAATTATATAAGTCACCATGATTACACTTATTACTTATTGTTAATTTTTGATCATCAATAAACATAGCCATATGTTTACATAATATTTTTCATAATATATAGATAATGTAAACGTATTTTGATTTCACATTAATTGATTCAAAACAGTTTATCTACAAATATCTCCAAATACCTGAAGATGATGAAGGAAAGGAGGAATTGATTGAACATTGCTCCCAGATGACGAAATCATTATACTGAACATCAGTTGCGTATACATAAATTTTGTATGGAGGGATGGGAAATCAGTTGCAAACAAATCATTATGGAAGGAAAATTCCTAAACCTAAGTACCTGCACGTTTAAATAATAAATAATAAAAGAAATATATTGAATGTGTCAAAATAATAATTTACAAATAGTTCCGGGTTAAGGAGGGGGACAAAGGAGGCAGCTGTCCCGGGTGGCAAAATTATAGGGGTGGAAATTTTTTGTTGGCGTCAACAAAAGTTTTTAAATTTTCTAATGTATATACTAGTTTTTAGAAAAATTATTAATAACAATTATATAATATTATACAATAATATATATATATATATATATATATATATATGTTATAATTATAATAGTTATTTTATATTATATTAAGCAATTGAGTTATTTCGTCTGTGGGCGTTTAGCATATTAAGGGTAAAACCATATTATTATTATTTAGCGCTCGGACCTATGCATTTTTATTTTCGTTATACTGACATAAAATTGTGTTTATTGTATTTCTTATATATATCTGTGTGTATTATAATTTATAACCATCAAATTATTAAATTTGATATTAATAAATTCAAATAATTTATTTACACACTACCAAGCAATTGTTTTTGTTATCTCTCTCTCTCTCTCTCTCTCTCGTCTCGTGGTCATAGTTGTCGTCGTTGTCAAGTTCGATTCACGAATCGCGATTGACTGGAAAACAAACGTGCCTAATATTTTATTTTCAATCAATATGAGTGAAAAGCGCATACAAATGCATATATTGAAATAAATGAGTTGTTTGGGTTTTTTTTTTAAATGTGGAAGGAATTGACAATGATATTTTACAAGAAAAATCAAAACAATTAGTAAATATTTATAGTGTTTATAACCGGAACTTGAGAATGAGATTATACAATTTAAAACAATAATGAAATATTGTTTCAGAAGATGAATTCTACGTTCATATATTCATGTAAGGTGAAGTAAGGTATTTTCGTGTTATTATTTGCTGAACGTATAATGTAATTCCCTATAACACGATTGACTTAAAAATTACATTGGTCCTTAAAAACAGTAAATTTTAAATCAATCGTATATTAGGAAGTTACATTATAGGTTCAGCAAATAATATTGTGGTATATTAGTCGCAATTAATATGTTTTCCTTGAATCTCGTATATTTTTCTCAGATAGCAGCTTCAATAATTAATGATTTTTACTTTTGTAGTCCATTTTAGCTGGTATATTATCATAATAAGTTTTGTGTGAAATTTAGAACATTATATTTTATTTTTTCTATTACAAAAAATAATTTATTTTTTACCAAATATTTTAGAATAAATTACATTTAATTTGTGA